TCCCACCGGGCCAGTCCTCCCCTGAGTGCGGGGCCCGGGGCAGCCGCCCCACTCACCCTACCCTATATCCGCTGCTAGAAGGGGCTTTAAGTGTGGGCGGGTGCCGGATTTCCAGGAAGGCTGGGGCTGCGAGGGTGGCCAGGGAGAGCAGGCAGAGGGACGAGGATGGACAGGCTGCTGTGGGTCAAGCCGCAGCGTAGTCGGCAGGCCTGGGTCCCCAGGCACCTACCTGCCAGCGAGGAGAGTGGCTGGGCTCCTGCCGCGAGGGGCTGGCCGTGCTCTGCCCCTGGCCGGGGAGGCAAGTGGTGGGACTGGCATTGCTGGTGCCCTGGCAGGGGGGCCCGGAAGAGGACACTGCCGTCCGGGGGTGGAAGTGGCAGCGGGACGGCGCCGCATGTTGCACTGAGCTAGCTCCTGGGACCCCCGGCGGGCGGCCCCGTTATGGCTTTGCCCCAGCTCCAGCAGACCGGCCCGGGGAGGGGGAAGCAGCGCTCTCACCTGGAGCCCAACACCAGAATGGGCGGTTCTGTAACCGTCAGGGCCCTGGCTGCAGCTGACAGATCAAACCAGCTGTCTGGACAGTGCTATGGGGGAGTCAATGCAAACGCCTGGCGTGATACGTTCATCCCCCAGGAGCCTGGAGTCTCTGCAGGGCTCTGCCTGGGTGGACTTGCTGGACAGAGCTCACAGACAAGGCAGGAGAGCCGCAGGGCCAGAAGTTCAGCTGAAGGAGGCAGACACACAGTGCGGCGAGTCTCACACAGGTAGGGGGTTCCTCCTGGAGCCCATGCCAAAGGGGGGGGAGGGGCGTAGCACTGGTCCTGTGGAGCCGTGAGCAGTTATAGGGCTCCCCTGTGACGGGGGGACTCGGCTTCATTATCCCCAGGGAAGCCCCATCAATACTCCATTTGTGATGGCCTTGCCATGGTTGAGCCCTGGCACCTCTAGGCTTGGCAGTGCCCAGCCTCAGTTCCCCCAGCCAGCCCGTTGCGAAGGCAGCACTGCCGCCAGCAGGCAGGGTGGCGATGCTCCCTAGCGTGCGCCCCACGTGTCTGACACGCTGTCACGCCCAGGGAACACGCCTGGAGCGCGGGGAGAAGGGCGTTTGTGCAAAGGAGCCGGAGAAGCGGGCGCCAGGAAAGGCCCTTCCCTGCCATGGCTGATTGACAGACTCGGATGCTGAGTGCTAGGAGGCAGAAGCTGCCTGGGGGGATTTCACCCGCTGGGTTCTCTTCAGCATTGCCCGCTGTTCCTGGGCAGGAGAAGGCTGTTACGGGGCAGACACATGGGGACAAAGCCGGGGCGGGAGCGTTAACCCCTCTCAGCGGGGGCTTTATTGGGGCACAGCAGGAGTGGACGTGCACAGGGACCGCTCAGAGCGTGGGCTCAGCAGGCTGACGTCTGCAGTGCCAGGCGCTTGGCTCCTGGAGGGCGCTCCCCCCTCTCAGAGCACCAGGCTGAAGCCCCTTTGCAGGCAGGCAGGGCACTCTGGAAGGGGAAAGAAAGGGTTAAATCAGCTGGCTCAGGATAGCGCCTGGCTCGGTGGTGCGCCCCCTGCTGGTGCCGGTGGTGTTCCTCTGGCACAAACACACCCTGTGGACACCCGCCCCCGCCTCGGGGACAGGCCACGCCCACCAGGCAACCCCATTCTTGGCCTGTTGAGCCCTCTGATTGGCTGAGAGGGTTTCATACCACACTGCAGCTGCACGGTCACGACTGTTTCCCGCCATTGGATCAGACCCAAGGGGGCGGGACACCTGGATCCCTCCCTCCCCCAGGTCCAGCTGTGGTCTCAGACAGCAGCAGTGTGAGCAGGCGCCTCTCCCAGCCTGCTCTACAAGCAGAGCCCACAGGGCATGGAGAGTCCTGGGGTTTGCTACCTACAACACTGGTGAGTGCAGAGAGCTCAGACATTCTCCCGGGCTGGGACCCCCCTGGACTCCTCTCTAGACACTGCTCAGCCCACACCCTAGATCCCCCCCCTCCCAGCGCCGCACTCCCACCTCCCTGCATCTCGGCGGGGTGGCCGGCCCCTGCCCAGGGGGGCAGCGGCGCTCACTGAGC